AGCTTCCGACCAATGATGGATGTACGTTATGGAGAACTCTGTGGTCAGTGCAAGGGGCCACCGAGGGGGCATCAACTTCGACTATTCACGGTGCACCCGCTGGTTAATATCTAATAGGTATTTAGGTGATATTTGCGAATATTCACAAGATATTCAAAATATTCATCGATATTCATCGATATTCATCAATATTCAAGGATATTAATCAACGATCACAGTGAATATTCACTGGCATTCAGTGATATTCACTGGTATTCAGTGATATTCACTGGTATTCAGTGACATTGAATATTTGAATATATTCACAGTTCACCAAATTTCCAAGTAGGTTCCCCCTCGGGGGCCACACACACCTTTGGCCACACCTCTGTGACCGTGCCACTTGGGTACGGTCAGGTGGCACCGGTTCATTGACAAGCACCGGTGCGGGGACGGCGCTGGTCCAGACCAAGCCAGCACCATGTGCTTGACGTGGTGGCAGAGCTGCTGCATTTGGTGTCCGGAGGGTGGGCGGGGGCGGCGGCGTCCCACCTGCCTGTCCTGTCGCGGGTCACGTAGGTGAGAGCTGAGGAGAGGCGAGAAAGGCTGAACCCTCCCCACCCCTTAACTTCTGCTTCAAGGGCATTCCGTTTGAAAGAAAGGAGCGGTACTTTCAGGAGTTTGATTAAATTTCAGCACAAACATTTTTGGCTAAGAATAGAGCAGTCACTCTGTACAGAGAGTGTACATGAGTGGTTAGTGAAGGTGGGGATCCCATTGAAGAGGACGTGACATCACACATCACTCCAGACACTTTTCAAATACTGTGTGTGGTGGACTTTGTTATCTGGAAAGGGTGAAGGTAACAAAAAGGAATGAGTAAATGTAAAGTAAATGCCACAGTTTTAGATTAGATTAGATTAGATTAGTGCATCCTAGGGGCCGAAGTCGAGACTTCTAATCGCGGTATTTTTTGCCCCCGGCAGGGTACCCCGACACACACGGCTGTAAGAGAAAGGGTTAGAGGTCTCCGCCCAAACCAGCATCCCCGCCAAAGAGCGCGAGACAAGGTTCCCTTTGAATGGGAGGGGGAGCCGGAAAGTAGGCTGCAGGGGAAAGAGAGCAATTAATAACAGGTAGCAGTGCACCGAGTATAGAAGCAGGCCAGAGGGATGAAGAGCGGGGAAGCAAGGCCATGCGTCCTGGGGGCCTAAGGTAATACAGAGAAGGTTCCGAACCCCTGGACGTCAGAACGGGACCCGGGTGGAGTGGCCCCGGGAGTGGCCTGCGTTCTAGATTCAGCGGGGGCCGGCACCGGCGCCTCGGGGTTGCTTCAGGCAGGGGCGTAGACGAGGCGGCCGAGTGTGAGGGGAAGTGCCCCGAGGACCAGGGGCAGGCACCTTCAGCGCTTCGGACGGAGGTGCAACCGTGGGGACGCCGCCTGGCGTCGACGCAGCCGAGCGGTGTGGGCTCCTGCGGCCGCTCCAGGTCGTCAGGAACGATATCCGGGTGGGCTAACCCCGTGAGGGACTTCGACCCGGCGTTCCAGACCCAGAGGGGCCCGGCGTTCCAGATCCAGCGGGGGCCGACACCAGCGCCTCAGTGTTGCTTCAGGCACGGGCGTAGTCGAAGGCAGCCGAGTGTGAGGGGAAGTCCACCAAGGACCAGGGGGAGGTGTCATCAGCGCTTCTGGCGGAGGTGCCACCGTGGGGACGCCGCCTGGCGGCGACGCAGCTGAGCGGTGTGGGCCCCTGCGGCCACTCCAGGTCGTCAGGAACGATATCCGGGTGGGCTAACCCCGCGAGGGACTTCGACCCGGCGTTCCAGACCCAGAGGGCCCAGACTGGTCGAGGAGAGGGCGAAGAGGAGGGGTCGGCCGTGCATGGTCGGGAAGCCGAAGCAGCGTGCAATAATGAAGAGACAGCATCCCCAAACCTGAAAAATACCTGTCAAAAGCTGGGCGAAAGCAGTTAGGGATGAGGGTGAGTGCGCAAAAGCCAGGCGAAGAAAGCAAAGCAGAAGCAGGATGGGCATGCCTAACGGACCATCCTTGGCCTACGCGTTTGGAGTATTGCGGAAGCGGGATCAGTGCACTGCCATGCATCAATTACTCTGGTCAGCCCCTGCCCGCCCCCCCCAGGGAGAATCGCGCGGAGACAGGCCTCCACGAGCCCGCTGGCTAGTCCAGCAAAGCCCGCTCTCCCCAAAAGTAAATGCCACAGTTTTAATTGACAAAACACAGCGAATTTGTTTTACTTGTGAAGAAGTGGCACTGTCATGTAAACAAAACAAAGAGTAGAATTGGAAATAAAAATGAACCAACATTCAAAATTAATAAGAGTTACAAACTTAAGAAACCCACAATTCACATGAATGTTTAAATTGTAAAGGTTGCCGAGTAAAGAAAACAGAAAGCAAATGCATCAAAGCCTTTGGTTTAGATGTACTTGTACAGTAAAACGTAATCCATCACAAACATGCCCAGACTTAAATCAGAGCATAGGTACTTAGGGAAAGAATTTGGTACCCTCACAATACAAGTCATCTTTTACAATGAGCAGTTGAAGAAAAAATGTATCAATAATAAAAAGAACCAAATTTTAGGCTTTTGACAAACAGACAAATGACTTCTAGCCTAAATTAGTCTGCCAGTATGGTGGGAACGCAGTACACATGCAATTAGTAACTATCACAGTTCTGCGTGTCTGAAAGCCTACTCGGGAATTTTAGAGTACAAATCTCACAATTCAAATATTAAATCTGCAAGTTTACAATAAGGTGGAGGCCATAGTATCTCTCCTACCACTGCTGGCAGCTAGCAGGGGTCAACTCAATCAAACAAAACAATAATTCCATACGTAGTGCGCAAGTGGAAACAAAAAAAATTAAAATACTTAATCGGAGCCATATGGTAAGGCTAGAAGTGTGAATAATGATAAACGTTTCCTCGACATACCAAAAGATGTGAGGTTACTATCACAAAATGCTAATTTAAATGTAAACAAGCAGGCCCGCCCTTCCGCCAAACGAAGTTGCCAGCTTCGCTTCGCTGCGCCGGCAACTCCGTTCGGCAGGGGCTGGGCCTGCTTGGCCTGCCGGCGGCGATGGTCGGGCCTGCGGCCCGACCATTTCTGTCAAGCGATTTGCGGAAGAACATAATCGGTTGATGTAACGGGCCTTCGGCCCACAAAGTCCGTCGTCCTTAAAATTTGCCCCGTAGACACGAGAAACGGATGTAACGGTTAAGGACCGCGACTACAACCCACCCTTCTGCTTAGAAAACGGTTTTTGGGGTGGGGGTGGGGGGAGTTTCTTTCCTCATTTGCGGTTTTGGGCCTTCTTCTACAATTATTGTTCACTACAGCAATTTTTAGCTTATTTTCGTTAAAAAAAGACCCTCCAGCGCCTAAACGGATCGAGATAGAGCAAAACGGACGAAATTTTCGCCCGTAGGGCTCTACTTTGACGAGTTAACCCTAAGGAGATCATGAAAAAATTATTTTCTTCCGACTTTTTTGACCTACCCCATTTTTTTGATACCCCCTTTTAGCCCTTTAGGGGTGGTTGCCAGGATTTGCCGTAGGCGTTTCGTTTTCTAGGAGTGAACCTTAAGATCCCCTCTTAAAGAAAATTATAACGAGGGTACTAACAAAGGTATAGACAAATCGGATGCACGCTACATTATTTGATAATGTTCTTCAGTAAATCGCGTGACTGAAATGGTCGGGCCGCAGGCCTGACCATCGTCGCCGGCAGGCCAAGCAGGCCGGCCCCTGCCGAACTTAGTTCCCGGCGCAGCGAAGAGAAGCCGACAACTTCGTTTGGCGGAAGGACGGGGCTGCTTGTTTGATATGAAACCTCTTTTACGATTTGATAGACCATTATTAGGTCATTTTCACCTTGTTTACGCCAAGAAATGCCCCCTAGCACCCAAACGGTACAAGATAGAGCAAAACGGACGAAATTTTCAGCCAAAGGATTCGACTTTGTCGAGTTAGCCCATAGACCAATATTTGAAGGTACTAACATTTTGCGACTTGTAGTTTTTGGAACGTAAATGTGTCAAATGTTATGGAATGACCGTTTATTTAGTTTTATGGCATACTGTTGTAATTTCACAACTTCGCTGTAAAAACAGTTAACAGCACCACCTGCCCCAAAAATTAGCTCAACATTTCCTTTAAAATCCAGAATTTTTTAAACAGTTCCTGATGGGTAGGCCAAGCTTGTTTACCGTGACGAACCGAAACTCAAAGAAGAAACTGTCCCGAGTGTGTATCATCTGCTTTCATAATCCGTCCCTGGTGGAACAGTTTTTCATAGGTGTGTTATCTAACATCTATAAATTAGAAGGAATCTGGCAAAATGTTATTGGCTGAGCGATTAGCGAAGCCTATTACTCCAGTGATCAAAAAGTTTCGCGTCTGTCTGTCCGTCTGTCTGTCTGTGTGTCTGTGCGCACGATAACTCGAGAACGAATTGAGCTAGCGACCTGGGATTTTCAGGGTCGTTTTGTATCATAAAAAGACAGATCAAGTTCGAAGAGGAGCATTCTAGATCAAAAATTGGATTTAAAAAAAATCAAAAACCAAAGGTCCCACAAATATTTGTTTTTCAAATATTTTTTTGCACTTTCCTAAGGAGTAACTCATCACAATAGAGCCCTGTGGGCGAAAATTTCGTCCGTTTGTCTCTATCTTTAACCGTTTAGGGGCCACAGGGAAATTTTGATGGAAACAAGCGAAAAAATGTACAACCCTGAACCCTGCATGCTTGGTCAAAGTGACGGGAAGTTGATGGGCCGGAGGCCCTATCCTTGTGTACATTTTGGCGCTATCCGACTCGGGTGTCAGCGCCGCAGGCCTAGGTAGATGTATGCCAGGCGCGTCGCAGCGCAACAGTGTTTCGTGAGATATCGCGAAGCCTGTTACGCGAGACGTGGTCTGGCGTACATCTACCTAGTATATATTCTACAAACTTCGGTACACACAGTTAAAGATGTACTGCGCAATAAAAGAATGTTCCAGTTGTTGAGATTTTTATTTTTGAATTAGACAGCAGAATTACCTGGCAGTAGTTGGTTCCAACCTATTTATTTGTTGAAAGGTTATACAGCAATATTTAAAAATCCAAAAAAAAAAAAAGGCCGGCCTGAGGGCTGCGCCTAAAATTTACTGAATGATTGAACAATCGTCAATACGGTGGATGAACTACTTAGAAGAGCGTGAAAGTGCCAGCATAAGCCCTAATACCGCAAGCAGTAATACAGTCATACTGCTACTTGCACGAGTGCAGCTGCTTGGTGCTGCTGTCGAGGGTGCCTGAGTGGATGTTGCCGTCGAGGGTGCCTG